ATGATTTGAATGAAGTATATGTTAAGGACTGTGGAAGAAACGCACGGAATATATTTGTAACCAATCGATACGCTTTCAACAAGATGTAACGAAAGATGATTCTTTTTTTTTATTTTTCTTTCTGTTTAATTAAAACAATAAAAAAAATTTCTTCCAAAAAAATGATATCCGAAAGGTTTAACTTCGCAATTTTTACACGATCCGATAAATATTCTATAAATGCGTCAGTTTTATTAAGATGATAAATACTGGCAAATATATACCATATGAACAAAACACAAATACCCCTTTGAGGGTCCTCCATAGATTTTAAAAGTGGAAAATGGCTCTGAGAACAAAAACTTTTTAAGAAACACAGTATACAGGCTGCAGTGATCCGGACAGTCACTAATGGCAACAAAAATATTTTTGTTGCCAAGATATGGGATGCCTAAGTAATACTATTAACCATGGGTTAGAGAAAAGTCCATAATAAGGACTTTTGCATTACAAAGTCCATAATAAGGAGAAGGAGCTGTTCAGCCCTGCATCTCTCCCCAGTAGTAGTCAGTTGTGAGCAAGATATGAAGGGAATAGTTGTTTCTAATGCTTATCCCTGATTCTGATATGTTAGCAGTACTTGGCATTGCCTTCATAACATTGATGTGTGATCATTTAGTCCATAATAAGGAGAAGGAGCTGTTCAGCCCTGCATCTCTCCCCAGTAGTAGTCAGTTATGAGCAAGATATGAAGGGAATAGTTATTTCTAATGCTTATCCCTGATTCTGATATGTTAGCAGTACTTGGCATTGCCTTCATAGTATTGATGTGTGATCATTTAGCAACAGTCTATAATCTTTTTTTGCAATGTGTACGTTAAATGGGTTTAATAGGTGAGATCATTTAAACTGCAGATCTGATTTACAGCTTCTTTGTAACATACTGGGTTTGGATATGCTTTCATGCGAGTCAACAGCCTATACCAGGCAGCATTGTTGATGTTCTCTGATGGGAGGGGTGTTTAGAGAAAGCGTTCTAAAATTGGATTCCCCCCCCCCCTTCCCAAGGGTGGTTAACTTGAAATCTAAGTGAGCAGGCTCTACAAAATATGCTGTCAGGCTTGCATGAGTGAAGTGAAGAACATGGCCAGAGTGACATTTAAGAGAAGGCTAAATCCACAAGTTTTATCCACCTGTCAGAACTTTGCCAATCACAGAAAGACTGACTGATTTACAGTTTCCCTCTACCATTCAGTGTGACATGTAAAAGTATCAATAGATGGTACTGGATAGCAAATTTCAGGATTATCCATTATTTTACATTTCTAAGAGCCAAGGTGGCGCAGTGGTTAAATGCAGCACTGCAGGCTACTGCTAGATCAGCAGGTCAGCGGTTCAAATCTCACCGGCTCAGGGNTAATGTTCTCCAACATTAGTTCCTGCGTTGATTTCTGCAAAAGGAGCATGTGCACAAGCAGTCCTTTTATAGTCTGGAGAGGAGCCTAATGACCACCAGCTGAGTGCAATTACCTCCTGTAACTACGCAACTCTTCCTGACGCCTATTAGCTCTTCAGTGCCGGGCAGGCAGGAACAACTCACTGCTGGGGTCCGGATCACTCTCCCTTGCCTCCCCACTGGTCCAAGGCTCAGCCGCCTCCTGGTGGCCAACCAGCCCCTGCGCCCTGTTTGGAGTCGAAATCCTGTCCAGGGTCCTCCAGAGCTGACTCATAGGGCCCCTTGCTGTCGGAGTCTGGTGGCAGCTCCAATGACTCCTGCTAGGCCACAACACCAATCTAACCCTAACGCATATCAGTGTAATTAGCTACTTTCTATATAGACTATGGAGTTTGCTGGTCGTTAAATTGAGTATGTAGTTTGTTTAGTTTGAAAAACTTCAGAATAGGATGTTTTAAGCGATTGATGGTTAGGGGTAAATTTGATATTACTGTCCATAACTCTTCTTGGCAAGGATCCTAGAATAAGTTGAAATTTTCTTTTCTCCAGCCAACCACGTTTTATCAGAACTCTCCACTATGACCTGTCTGTCTTGGGTGGCCCTCCATGGCATAGCTCAGCTTCATTGAGCTGCACAAACCTCTTCAACACAACAAGGAAGTGAGCCATGAAGGCGTTGGTGGTCTTAGCCTTTTAAATGTTGAATTTCAAGCCAACTTTTGTTCTTTTTTAATGAAGGAAGTTGGGTTGAAAGTCAGCATTCAAAACTTAAGATCATGGCATTCGGTCCCATCACTTCCTGGAAAATAGGGGAAATTTCCAAATTTTGGGGAAATTTTCCCAAACGTATTAAAAAGTAGACATAGCAAAAGTCCATATAATCAAAGTTATGGTTTCCCCAGTAGTAAATATATGGCTGTGAGAGTTGGATCATAAGGAAGGCTGTGTGCAAGATGAGTCCCTTGGACTTAAAGGAGATCAAATTAGTTGTAATCAACCAGTCTGTTCTTTAGAAGGGCAGAAGCTGAAGCTCAAATATTTTGGCCACCTAATGAAAAGAGGACTCTGTTGGAAAAGATTGAAGGCAAAAAGAGAAGGGGACAGCAGAGGATGAGATGGTTAGATAATGCCATCAATGCAATTGATGGTAGGGACCTACTATAGGTTAAAGATTACCGTACTTACTTTCCCCATTTCCCTTCACTTTATCTAATAAGCCAGTGGAGAACTTAGAGTTCCTGTTGGTTCTTTGGAGCAAGCTTCAGCTTCACCTCCACAGGGTAGTGATCACTGATTTCTAAGGCCTATAAAAATGAGAGAATATTGAGTTCTTTAGGCTTGCCATAGATAAATATTCCTTTGTTTTAACGAGAGAGAATAATCAAGCCTACTCACCTCTTCTTCAGACAATCCAAATGCCTTTGTGAAATTGTATGGCTTGGCTGATCCGGGCACAACAGCAGAGAGTAATTCTTCTCCATGAACTATGATTCTGAGAGGAAAACAGTGACAAGTGGGCTATGTTTCCAGGTTTCAGAAAGATTATTGGGGTACTATACAGGTGGCTGGTTTGTGTCAGGAAGCAGAACAGTGTAACGTTCCTGGAGGACTGGTAGGCCTGCCTGGGGAAGGGATTCAGAAGTGTTCTGCCTGAATTTCTAACCTTAGTTCAATAGATTACTCAATAGAGCAGCCCTATCATGTTACTAATGACATTGATGGGGATGTTGAAAATGGTTCACCGACAATAGCAATAGCAATAGCAATAGCAA